GCGGCATAAATGTGGTCGGGGAGGAGAAGGCATTGGGCTGAGCATGGCCACTGGACCGCTGGGCTGGAGGGGTGGAGGGGTGCGGGAAGAGGGGCGTGCGTCGGTGTCGCGCGGAAAAAAAATGCCGGGGCTGGGGGTCTCTGTGGGCGGAGGTTCCACTGGACCGTTGGGGCACGCTGGAGAGGGTTGGGAGGGGAGCGGGCAAGGGCGGGGCTGGGAAGGGGCGGGAGGGAGGTGGAGGTTCCCCTTGGTCTGTGGGGAACGCTGGGGGGAGAAGGAGGGGGGCGCGGTGCGACGCGGCATAAAGTGGTCGGGCCGGAGGAGGCATGGGGCGGAGGTTCCACTGGACCGCTGGGGCTGGGAGGGTGGGAGGGTGTGCGGGGAATAGGGGCGTGGGCGCGTGCGACGCGGAAAAAAAAATGCGGGGGGGGAGCCTGAGGGAAAAAAAGGCGAGGTTCCACTGCCGTTGGGGCACGCTGGGAGGGTCGGGAGGGGAGCGGGCAGGGGCAGGGGCTGGGAAGGGCGGGAGGGAGGCGGGAGGGGTGGCGCGCCGTGAGACGCGGAAAAGATGTCTGGGGCGGAGGGGGCACTGGGTGGGAGGTTCCCCTTGGCCTCTGGGGAACGGCTGGGGGAGAAAGAGGGGGGCGCGGTGCGGGCGGCGGGGAAGAAGTGGTCGGGGGGGGGGCGGAGGAGCACAGCCCCCACCGCTGGGGCTGGGGAGGGCGGAGGGGTGCGGGAGAGGGCGTGGCGCGGTGCGAGGCGGAAAATATGCCGTGTTGGAGGGGCCTTGTGGGAGGTCACCACTGCGACGCTGAAAAAAATGCTGGGCGGAGGGGGCAACTGGGCGGAGGTTCCACTGGACACCGTTGGGGCACGCGTGAGAGGGTTTGTAGGGAGGCGGGCAGGGGCGGGGCTGGGAGGCGGGAGGGAGGCGGAGGGGGGGCGCGCGGTGAGACGCTGATTAATATGGTCGGGGGCGGAGGGGGCACTGGGTGGAGGTTCCCTTGGCCTGTGGGGAACGCTGGGGGGAGAAGGAGGGGGGCGCGGTGCGGCGCGGCATAATGTGGTCGGGCGGAGGTTCCACTGGACCGCTGGGGCTGGGGAGGGGTGGGAGGGGTGCGGGGAGAGGGGGCGTGGGCGCGGTGCGACGCGGAAAAAAAAATGCCGGGCGGAGGGGGCACTGGGCGGAGGTTCCACTGGACCGTTGGGGCACGCTGGAGAGGGTTGGGAGGGGAGCGGGCAGGGGCGGGGCTGGGAAGGGGCGGGAGGGAGGCGGGGAGGGGGGGCGCGCGGTGAGACGCGGAATAAGATGGTCGGGGGCGGAGGGGGCACTGGGTGGAGGTTCCCCTTGGCCTGTGGGGAACGCTGGGGGGAGAAGGAGGGGGGCGCGGTGCGGCGCGGCATAAAGTGGTCGGGGCGGAGGAGGCATTGGGCGGAGGTTCCACTGGACCGCTGGGGCTGGGGATGGGTGGGAGGGGTGCGGGGAGAGGGGGCGTGGGCGCGGTGCGACGCGGAAAAAAAATGCCGGGGCGGAAGGGGCACTGGGCGGAGGTTCCACTGCGACGCTGAAAAAAAACGCCGGGGCGGAGGGGGCACTGGGCGGAGGTTCCACTGGACCGTTGGGGCACGCTGGAGAGGGTTGGGAGGGGAGCGGGCAGGGGCGGGGCTGGGAAGGGGCGGGAGGGAGGCGGGGAGGGGGGGCGCGCGGTGAGGCGCGGAATAATATGGTCGGGGGCGGAGGGGGCACTGGGTGGAGGTTCCCCTTGGCCTGTGGGGAACGCTGGGGGGAGAAGGAGGGGGGCGCGGTGCGACGCGGCATAAAGTGGTCGGGGCGGAGGAGGCATTGGGCGGAGGTTCCACTGGACCGCTGGGGCTGGGGAGGGGTGGGAGGGGTGCGGGGAGAGGGCGCGTGGGCGCGGTGCGACGCAGAAAAAAAAATTGCCGGGCGGAAGGGAGCACTGGGCGGAGGTTCCACTGGACCGCTGGGGCCGGGGAGGGGCGGGAAGGAGGCGGGGAGGGGGGGGCTGGCGCGGAGCGACGCGGAATGAAATGGTTGGGGCGGCGGGGCACTGGGCGGAAGTTCCACTGGACCGTTGGGGCACGTTGGGGAGGGTTGGGAAAGGGGGCGGGGAGGGGGGGGGGAGCGCGGTGCGACGCGGAGTAAAAGAATCGAGGCGGAGGGGGCACTGGGCGGAGGTTCCACAGTGCCTCTGGGGAAGGCTGGGGGAAAGGAGGAGGGGCGGGCGCGGTGCGACGCGGAATAAAATTGTCGGGGCGGAAGTGGCACTGGGCGGAGGTTCCACTGGGCCTCTGGGGAAAGCCGGGGGAAAGGAGGAGGGGCGGGCGCGGTGCGACGCGGAATAAAATTGTCGGGGCGGAAGTGGCACTGGGCGGAACTTCCACTGGACCGCTGGGGCTTGGGAGGGGCGGGAGGGGGGAGGGGGGGGCGGGCGCGGTGCGACGCGGAGTAAGATGGTCGGGGCGGAGGGGGCACTGGGGGGAAGTTTCATTGGGCCGTTGAGGCGCACTGGGGAGGGTTGGGAGGGGAGCGGGCAGGGGCGGGGCTGGAAAGGGGCGGGAGGGAGGCGCGGAGGAGGTGCGGGCGCGGTGCGACGCGGAAAAAAGATGGTCGGGGCGGAGGGGGCACTGGGCGGAAATTTCATTGGGCCATTGGGGCACACTGGGGAGGGTTGGGAGGGGAACGGGCAATGGCGGGGCTGGGAAGGGGCGGGAGGGAGGCGGGGAGGGGGGGCGGGCGCGGTGCGACGCGGAATAAAATGGTCGAGGCGGAGGGAGCACTGAGCGGAGGTTCCACTGAACCACTTCGGAACGCTAGGGAGGGGTAGGAGGGGGGCGGGGCAGGATAGGGTGCGGTGCGACGCGGAATAAAATGGTCGGAGCTCGAGACACCCTGTGCACAAGAATACATCCGGGTGGGGATAAATCGAGAATCTCTGAAATCTGGCGGCTCTGGAGCATTTATCGGGCGTCGTGGCCTTCCCACAGCGTTCCGGAACGCTCCGAGAGCGTTTCGGAACGCTCTGGAACGCGCGCTATCCATGTCCTAGCCCCGTCCGAACGACGACGACGACGACGACGACGCCGCCGCCGCTGCCGCCGCTGCCGCCGCCGCCGCCGCTGCCCAGGCCGCTGCCCAGGCCGCCGGAGGCCGCCAGAGGCCTCCGAAGGCCTCCGCAGGCTACCGAAGGCCTCCGAAGGCTGACGACGAAGAAGAAGACGAAGACGGAGACGACGAATAATAATGACTATGCTAAGAAAAAGAAAAATAATAACAATAATAATAATAATACTAATAATAATAATACTAATACTGATACTACTAATAATAATAATACTAATAATAATAATAAGAAGAAGAAGAAGAAAAAGAAGAAGAAGGCGTCCGAGAAGCCTGGCTCGCCTTCTGAGAAGGCCCGCCCCCTCTGCACCCCCCACCCCTTGGCATCGCTCGGACACCCATGCCCAGTGTGTTGCCTGGTCTCGTGCGTGAAGATTCTTAGTGCGATCCAATCTGCTCCAGGATGGTCCAGAGAAAACAGAAAATGTCCCAGCGATGCCAAGACCCCTTGGTCTGCGCCGCCAGCCTCGGCCAGGAAGGCGCTCAGCGCCCGCACGCCCGCGGCGCCGATCTCCTGGTGCACGCTGCGGTTGAGCGCGCTCCCGTGGATGTTGAGCCACAGGTGGCCCCCAGACGTGTCGTCTGGAGGGGGCCCGACAATGGCCTGGTAGAGGCCCACGGCGTCCTCCGCCACGAACTCGGTGCGGCCGACGAAGGATATCCTGCCTCGCACCAGGCAGCCGTGGACGTTCAGGATGCCGCCCAGGACGCCCTGGTGGAGGCCTCCGAGATCGGGTTCGACCGAGGAGATGGGGTCGGAGGATCGCGCCGCACCGCCATCGCCGATGTGTCAGTGATGCGTCGGCGACCCACCGGCGCCGTCGGCGTGGAGAAGATCGGGCTCCACATCAGGCCGCATCACCGATGCGTCGACGATGCGGCGCGATCCTCCGACCCCATCTGCTCTGACCCCATCTGGGAGACCCTGACCTTAGGTCGGGCTTGTCCTCCTACAGGCGGATTTTGGACGAAAACTAAGAATAGCCAAACAAACATCAAAAGTGAACAAGAAATAATAGAACAATCGTCCCCAGACAATTGTTGAACACTCCTTCTGTAGAAGACACGCCCGACTTGAGCCTGACCTGGAGGGTCGAAAACTCCTGCACGGCCGCCCAGGCTTCTGGCGCGCGCTCCGCGTCCCCCAGCGCCGCCGCCAGCTCCCAGGGCTCCAAGGACCCCGTCAGGGCGAGCCCCTCCGCGAGGGGCCGCGCGCTGGGGTCGGCCTCCAGCCGGTGCTCGCTCACGAATCTCCGCAGCGGGTCGCGCACAGAGAACGCAAGCTGCTGGCGGCGCGCACAAGGGGGCAGGAAGAGGGGGGAAGGCTTCTTGGAAGGAGGCTGCTTCTTTGGAGGCGCCGGCCTGGCATCTATGGAGAAGGCCCACGCCATCTGAGAACCAGGGGTGCTTCTGAGAAGCCTTCCCACCTCCCCCTGCCTGCCCCCCTCTGCGCGCGGCCGGAGCTGGGGGCCGACTTCGTCGTCGCACACGGGCACGTACGACTCCACCTTGCACAACAGCGGGGCGCCCCTGCTGGTGGCGGGGGGTGGCCAGCCAGCCCTCTGCTGGAGGCGCAGCATCCGCGTCTTCAGCGTGGTGCCGCCCGTGCGCCGGAGGTGCAGGAACTTCACTGGCCTCACCCACGGGTCCACCACGTCCTGGAAGGTCAGGTACTCGCGGGCCGAGACCACGGGTCGGGCGAAAGGGGGGGATCAAGGGGGGTTTTGAAAAATCACTCACGGAGCTGATTTTCCCGGCGCCTCCCGGCGCCGGAGGCGGCTATGTATCGAGGAATGGGCCCCTCGGTGGGGCCGAAACCAGCTGCATGCAGCAAATTTCGTAACCCCCTTTCCCAATCCCCCCCTTTCGCCCGACCCGAGACCAGCGGCCAAGAGCACCACCAGTTGCCGCCGGCGACGAGGTCCAGGAAGTCGCGCCAGTGCTCGGACACGTCGCCCAGGCTGCAGGCCCTCGGGGTGCACAGGCCGATGCGGATCCACGGGCACCCGCCGAGCGCACACTCCCACGCTGGGTTCGCCCCGCGATCCGAGGCGGCATAGGCGCTGGGGGCATCGTCTGGCATCGCGAACGTGAGCTCGAAGCAGCGGGCCCGGCCGCTGCCGACGAGGTCCCCCGCCACCAGCTCCGCGAAGCGCCTGTCTGGTAGCGTCCATGTCGCGCATCGCCCCAGATCCGCGGCGCTCGCCCGGTAGCTCTCGCACGTCTCGGCGCCGTCGGCCTCCGCGTAGAACCGCTGCAGGCACGCGTCGGAGCTCGACTCCATGCAGCAGCGCTCAAAGGTCAGGCCGTGCACCCAGCACTTGGACTGCAGGTCGATGCGGAAGTGAGAGCTCTGGCTGCAGCACGGGTCGACGTCGATGCCGCAGCAGAAGGCCCTGCTCAAGTTGTTGACAGCCCAGCAGTCCTCCGAGTCCGCCGCGTCACGCCTGCGGCTGCGCTCGATCGCCGCAAGCTGCTGCACAACGTTCATGGTGTGCTCCTCGGTCGCGGCCTCCCGCGCGAACTCCCTGGAACCCATTTCTTTATCATGCGCGGCAGCGCCCGTGAGCGGCCCCGCTGGTCTCCACCCTCGTGCTCCGCGCTGGTGCCGTCTGGGAACCGGCCATTCATGTAGGCATTCCGAGGCGACGCCGGCGCGAATCGACACGTGACCGGCCCCCTTTGCCCCCTCCACTGAATGCCTGCCAGGCCACCCCAACCCAACCCGAAAAAACAAATTTCGGGTTGGGGGGGGTACAGGTTCCACATGTTTTTTCTCGATGTTCGCCGACGCACCCCCAGTGGGAATTGAGGGCAACTTGGGGTCTTCGGGTTGGGCCGGGGTAACTTTACTGGGTGATGAACCCCCCGCGGTCACGCCCGCTATCGCCAGGGATTAAAAAACGGTCTCCAGGAGGCACCTCTACATGTAGAGCAACATGACAACAGAAGCATGAGTGCTCGGAGGTACGCGCGGATTCCTTGGATCCGCATGGAACTCTGAGAAACCTGCGGAGCTCCCCCCCATACCGGCCAGTCGGAAGAAGCAGGTCGAAACATGAAGCAGGAGAGCGGACAGAGTAGATTGGTATCGGGCCCGCCCAACAGAGTAACACCTCACAGCAGACACCATCGATTCAGGAAGTAGGAAGGCGCTTGAAGTAGACTGGCACCTGGGAACCCGAGAACTCCTACTTACAACGAGCGGCGCGTATCGCCAGAGGATTTAAGCAAACACTGTCTCCTGGCCGCTTCGGCCAGCAGGCCGGAGCCGAGGCGGGGGCCGCCCTCGCCCTCCGGCTGGAACAGGTCCAGTCCCGGGTAGCCCCAGGTCGGGCGAGGCCGCTCGCAGAGCCCGTGCAGGCACATGAGGTCCCTCAGCCAGCCAAACAGCGGCCAGCCCGCCTCGACGATGGACCAGTCCGCGTAGAGCAGGTGGGCCGCGTAGGCGGAGGCCGAGGGCAGCACAAGCCATCTCCACCCCCTGCCAGAACCCTCACTCCCGGACCTGGTGATCCAGGGGGTCCTGGCTGGGGATGGGGGTGCTTTCTGTTCGAGGCTCTGGGGGGCCAAATGACCACCCTCAACCCCAGCCAAGGCTCCCTGGATCACCAGGTCGGAAGTGGGTCCTGGCCGGGGATGGGGGTGGGTTGTGCTGTCCTCAGAGGCGGCGTCGCACTCGCCAGTCAAGAAGCTGCGCCCGATTCCCAGGATCACCAGGCACGGCTCTGGCCCGGCGCCGCTCCACAAGTCGTCCCAGGCCCAGGGCCCGCCCAGGAGCAGCTCAATGTGGAGCTTCATCGCGTCCAGGATGTTGGCGAGTGAGCGCATGTTGGCGGCGCGCACAGGGGGGTTAGGGGCAGGGTGCAGGTCTTCTTAGAAGCACCCCTGCTTCGTAGAATGCGCGGGCCTTCTCTGTAGATGTAGGGCCAGCGTCTTCTAAGAAGCAGCCTCCTTCTAAGAAGCCTTCCCCCCCTCCCCCTACCCCCTTTTGCGCGCCGCCACGCATGGAGCCATGCAGCACGCGCTGCAATGCCAGGGCTTAGGGCCGCGCACAGAAAGACCCCCCCCTCGGGAGGCAGCCCAGGCTGACCTCAACAATTCCCCGGCGTGGCCGGGAGCGGTCACAGCACCGCGGCCTTCCTTTGGTCCTTCTCTATTCCTGCTCCTCCTCCCCCTCCTCCTCGTCAGGAGTCTTGGGATAAGCTTGAGACTACACAAAACAGAACAGCCAGCAATTCGTGTCTGGCTCATCCGTCGCTCGCGTACTATACTGCGGGCCGATTACCAAGGCGGCGGTCGAGCTTTTCGCTATGATGGGTCCTGTTCAGGCGAGGGTGGAGATTCCGAATTCTATGATGCAGCTCGCAGGTTGGTCCAAGCAACTGCTGAGGTCGTTAGAGCAGGCTCCCTCCCCTCCCTCTGAGATCGTCCCCTCCCATGCTGAATGGCCTTATTGAGGCTTTCCAGGGCGTTCTTGTCCCTTGGATCCCCAAGAGAATAGAGCGCATACAAATGTTCGTTCCTTACTCGTGTTGTGGCCAGCGTAGACAAGGAGACATCCAGGCCCAAGTTGGGCTAGACCTAGAGGTCTATCCAGTGGATGTTGACACTCGTGTCCTCTCGATTGACATCATTATTGACCCTGCTCGTGGTGATCTGACTCGTGCTGAAACACTGGCTGTGTGAGCCGCACATACATTCAGACCGGCAGGATTCAAGGGGCCCCCCGTGCGAAGCTTTCTCGGCTGCGCGCTGGAGGGAGGGGGGCCCCCCTCCTCATAAGTCTTGGCTTGCGCTTTGGGGCATTGTGCCGCTCACCCCGCATCAAGCCCTGCAGGTGCAAGTCTCGACTCAGTTGCTCCAGGCCATGGCAAGTTGTTTTTCGTTTCAGCAGCGTGCGCTGCGGGGGGGATGGATGTAACAGCCGGCCCGCCCCACACTTGGAAGAGAGAGCGGCTCCTTCATGGCACTTCCGTCCTTTGCGTGCCCTTGCTGCGTCGCCAGCCTCCTCTCTCACGTCCTCTCGTCCGCGTGAAGTTGGTCAGGCAGGCGTTGCGCCCGCTCAGATTGTAGCTATCCGTCTTCCCAGCTTGCACAGCAAGCTTCTTGACACGCTAGGTACAGGTAAATGCCCCATCCGGAAGGTTTTCACAAAGCCATGCTCGGATGAGACCCAGCGCTCTTGCGGTGGCGCACTGCACCAAACAAGGTCTATCCTCAGGCCTCAGGCCATGCGCAAGCCGATTGCACTGGCTATGCTGGATCACATCAGAGAAGCTGATGCCATTGATGATCGTGACGACTTGCACGAACCTCATGCTGCCGAGCTTTTGCAGTGAATTGTTGCGTCCAACTAGTGCCCTGAAGGGGCCCCAGAGTACGGGCCAGACTTTGCCAAGAAGGCTGACTTGAGACGCTGGCCTGGTATCTCGCGCATCCGTCGCCCGCTTGACCTTCTTCCCACTCCTCCTGCGGGTGAGGCTCCCTCGCATCCCTCCGAGCAGGAGCTCCACGACAATCGCTCCGCTGTCGTCGAGCCCTCGTCTTCTGCCGTCGGGGGTCCGGTCTCCCGGCCCCCCCCCCGCGTCCTGCTCCGCCGCCGCCGCCTCCGCGGCCCGCTGCTGCGCTCGAGCGCACCGCGGCCAACAGAGCCGAAGCGCTGCGCCGACGGAGGCGCAGGGCCGAGGCGGCGAGGGCCGGGGAGGGGGCGGGCGAGGCGCCTCCCGATTCACGCCTTCGGCCTCCCTTCTCGCTGCACCGACCTCGCAGGCGTGCTGCGGCGGATATTTCTGCGTGCGTTTCTGTCAATGCAGAACTCCGAAACGGCGAGTGGAAAGCGAAGTGAATTTCGCGTGCGTGCTTTCAGTCTTCGTTCCTGGCCCAAACATCCGCACGAAATTCACCTCGAAATTCGTAACGACATTCTCCAAGACACTCCGGGCCCATCCTATCGTTTTCCGAACCATATCCGCTCTGCGATGTTGGCGCCATGACTTTTCTCAGGCCGCCCCCCCCGCCTGCTCCGTGGGAGTTCAGGCAAGTGCAGGCTGACCTGCACTGGTGGATCCAGGCAGCCACTCCCGACTGGCGGGGTGGGTGGGTAGGACAAATATGGGTGGTGGATCGCCTCGCCATCGCTCGGACGTCCATTCCCTGTGCATTTGTGGGCTTCGTACGTGTTTTTTTTCGCAAGATGACCCCAAATGCTCCTCGATGGTCTTCGCCCTGAAAAAATGCACACGTCCGAGCGATACCGAGATGCGAAAAATCACGAACAGGGCCCTGAAATCCGACGTTGCGAAACGAGTGCAACATCTGGACCAGACAGCAAACGACACCACCGCGCCTACGGCCCTACGGGCCTTGGTATACAACATGAATCCTGGCCTTGGTGCACGCTGCGGCCACCAATACGCTGTAGCGCAACATAGAGGGCCGTAGGTGGGGTGGTGTCGATGGATCGTTGGTCGAACACCGCGAAAAATCGCGGCCAGAGCCCTGGACCCCACCTCTCCGCTGTTTCCAGAGACAGACTGATCCGTGATGGCCCCAGGGCCCGAGGCCGGGCGAAAACGCCCGATGTCCCAACTCTCGGGGAGGGCCCGTGCCCCACAGGACCCGTCTCCTTCGCGGCGACCTGCGGAGTCCGGCCCGGGTTAATTCTGGGGGCGTCTGCGCGCGACCCTGAGCCCTGCCACGCTGTACCGGACGCTCGAGCCCCACCCCGACGTGGCTCAGCAGGGCGCTGAAGCCAGCAGGGCCCTGCCCCCGCGAGCAGTGGTCCTGGCAGGGCCAGACGGCACAGATGGCCCGCTGCTCCCCGGACCTATCCCAGGGTGAATCTGGCCGCGGCAAAGAACGCACCACAGGAGTCCCAGAGGAAGCGGTGGCAAGCTGGAACGGCATGATACCGTTGCGCTGCTTTTGATGCCGATGTCGTCGGCATCGGCATCCTCCAGTGAGCCTCTTCATTGGGTCTAGGACCATAACGCGGGTCCCCGGCGGCCGTCTGGAGCGATCTGAGCACCCCTGGACGCCTCGCGACGAGGCGCAGCTGCTGAAACACATCACGCGTGGCAAGAAAACCTCCAGGAGCCGACGAAAACGTCTCCTGAGACCCGACGCTACGAGAAAAAAACTGCAATATTGTGAACAAGCAGAGCTTTGGCCGCTGACCCCA